AATCACCAACTGTACAGTTACTGGCCGACCAGCTCTACCATCTGAGCTGCAGCTTATCTACTTAACCATAACACAAAACAGGAAGAAGCTGCAAATCTTCACATTTAAGAAGCTGGAGCCGCAGTATCTTAATGGCTCCTGATTGTTTTTCCAGTTATAATCAACTGTCCTGAAGGCAGAGGTGAAAAGGTAGTGTACATAAACAGCTTTCAGCGGCATAAAGCTACAATAATAGAAGGGAAATCTCAAGCATTAAACAGGCCAATGCATGTACTGTAAACCACTGAAGGGCATGAGAGCGCCTTAATTGCAGCAGGGTCATAGACGATATTGCAGAGTCAGGCGGATCAGAACAGACAAGTTCCTGCACAGCCAGTAAACCTCTCTCACACAGTCTTTTTCACATCCATCAAAACAGACTTGCTCTTTTTTCCTCCCCTCACAGCCTCTCCCTCCTCGTCTACCTGACTTCAGTACCCTGAGTGCAGAAAGTGGCAGGTATTGTCTTCCATTCTTCTCACTTTCTCATTCTGACAGTAACCAGACACTGCCACGCATTGTCCCATTGTTACCTTAATTACTGGTCGACTTGGGTTCAGCGGACTCGGCTTACATCGCTCTCTGTTCCCCGGCTATGGGAAGGCTGACCGAAGGGGGGGTCTGCAGGCCAAGCCTTTTTCACAGGGACCCGGAGGAGTGGTGATAAAGCTCCGAGTCTTGCAAAGGATTAATGTTACAGCTTCACAATTGCTATTGAGAAAAACATTTTGAGGTCAATGGGAGGGTGCGTAGAAGGTCACGAAGATTTGATATCTTTGGTTGTACGGGTGATAGAACATTTGTAACCTCAGCTTTATTTTGAAATGAACCCTTCACTCAGCTTTTTTGGAAACATTTCTGTCTGTTTGAAGCTGATAAAACTTACTTTATTGCCATAGCAAGTGAAAAACGAATACTATTGTCACCCAGTATCATGACTGCTGTATTTTTGCAGACATGTGCTCAAGCATCACCAGTAGAGGGAGTAAGAGGAGCATTTACAATTTGCTTTCCCCAGTTTCCTGCAGTCGACCCAAGGCCCACACTCACCGAGGGGCTCATTTAAGGAGCCCATAAAAGCTCACCCTACTTTCCAAATTATTTTTTACTATTTTAAAACAGTAGTGTATTCTGTGAGGCAGAAAATATAATTTTAAATCATATTTCATATCATACATTAAGCAACGCGTCTGCTGTTTTCCTACACCTCACATTTAATTGTATCATCATGCTCCCACAGTGTTGTCCGTCTGGTCCCCCTTAAAGAGGCCCCCTGACCTTTGTTTTACGTCACTGTTTTGATGGACTGTGTAATATATTTACCATTGTATAATTCATTTAGCTTGAAATAATGAAGTTAGTAATATGATTTGCAGAATACATTTGACTGCGTCCGCTTTTGAATTAGCTCCAGCAGAATGTTCTCCACAGGGATAGTTGGTGGAGTGGTAGTAAAGGCCAGTGACAGTGACACCGGGCTGGGTGTGGTGTTTTATGAATATTCTGCACTTGTGAAGTTTTAGCAAGTGCTACGATTCTAATGCGATTCAGCTGGCATACTTTCTGCAATGTTTTTGAATAATATTAATGATTATATTATTCAGTGACTGAGGAAGAATAAGCCTGTCCCTCTCTGCCTGAAGCTCTGTGTTTGTGCTGACTTCTAAATGACTTTTGAATGTTTGAGAGCGTCTGTGGCATTATTATATCATCAAACAAGTTCTGCACAGGGTTTTTGCTGTAACATGAGGCTCAGTCAGAAGCGTCTGAGGTTCACAGGTAACGCAATTTGGGATTTTTGGAACAGCAAAGACATTTCTCAGGACACCTTGACAGCTTCACCTTGGCTTCTTTTGACAAATTGTGAGCCCTTGTTATTGCACATGCACTTCCATAGGAGCCTGTTCGGAGGCACTTGCAAGCATCATTTTGCTTCTCCGTGGAGTTGCAGTCATGAAGCCAACAAACAGCGAGCACTGCTGCTCTGCCCAGTTCTTTAGACACAAAAGCAGCCCTTAAACGGTTTCAGAGTGTGCGCTTGATGAAAGAAACACAGAAACACCTTTCATGAATTAAGGAATCATCGCTGCAAACATACTGAGTGTTCCAGCTTATTACACGTCCTTCCATGTTTGCTTTTTTTCACGGTGTTCCAGTTGTAAAGCTGAACTCCTGCTGTTACCCTCTAAAATGTGCAGGTTGCATGCTTGACCTCATCCCGGAGGGGAACCAATGGGTTACACATGGCACTCCAAATCCTCCCTCCGTGTGTGTGCATCTCCAAACAGTCTGGGAGTCATTTCGCATATCTGATAAGTATTTAGCTGCACAGAGAAAAAAAAAGGGGAGAGGGGATTGCAGATGTCCCACCATGCAAACACTGCAGCCTGAATCTTTCTTTTTTTTGTAATGGAATGGTTTCAAATGGAAAAGTGAATGGGATTAGCTTGATCCGGTTTTTGTGGCCCATATGTTTCTCAGCCACTTGGGTACGTAATATTGTGTGCGATTATGGAATTAATGGCGTTTTATTAAGAGGATGGAACAAAACAAAAGAACAAGCACAACACGAGTTTAAGAAACATGCATACAGTGTTTATTTTGCAACCAGGACACATTAAATAAAACTACAAAGATACTTCACTTATACAAAAGATAGATTATATCCCATTCACATACAAAATAACAATAATTTACTGTATAAATTAAACATTTCACTATTTTTTTTTTCTTTTTTGCTATTTACAATTCCGTGAAAACAATGTGTTTGGGCCCCTCCAGATCATTTCCCACAGGGCTCCTGGTGTTTTCACGTCATGGAGCACTACAGGACATTCACATCAACGACAGTTTGGGGAAAGACAGTTTCCACCGCTCAGAAGATAGTGTGGAATTTTCCGATTGACTGGAGGACGGGACAGAAAATGGGAGTTTGCATAATTCACCAGGCTATCCAAACAAATATGCCGTTGTTAGATTTTAACTGTCAGATTTCGTTAGCTTGTGTTTGATTTGAACGCACATTAATTTCCCATCGCTCTCACATCTCTGCTCTTTATTCCCCTCCCTCCCTCCCTCCCTCTACGCATGGTCTCCTCTGAACATCACAGACCCAGGGGCATGTGCTCTTGTCTTGCAATAATTAACATGAGTTACAGTTGAGCAGACAGGCAGAATATAGCAAAGAGTCACTTTTTTTTTTACAAACTTCTGAGTGGGAAAGAAAGGCTCTCTATCTTTTTTTAAAGGCCTTAAATTCAGTCTGATTCTTGGAAAACGCTAAACCCTTTAACTTGAATGTCACTATGATGCTACGTCATGTGTAAAATATAACCTTTTGTCTCAAGTGCTCAGGTTGCTGCACAAAGTACGTTTTTTTTTCCACTGAAACTGAATGCAAAAGTGAATAAGTACTATTTCATCAAGTGCACTGACGTTTTGAACCTCTCCTTTATTAATCCTGACAGCGATTAGACAAATTTTTTGGGGTTGACCATCTGAAGAAACATCTCGTCCCAAGACAGGAAAGCCCAATTACTATGCCAATGGCGAACGAGTAGATTTTGACCTTTTACAAGTAGTTTAAATGTCACAGAAATGCACAGAAAACCGTCACAGCTGCAAACCTGCTGTCAGGTTGTGCATAGTGCCATTGAGAGCTTCTGGTTATATTTCTGTCTGGGTATATTGTTTGCGCTCGACCTTTTGGCCCTAAATCAAGGTGACAAGTAAAAGCTCCCAGGTCTGCAGCGTCTTATAGAATTTAGGCAATTTACTGCTGTCCAAGGAAAAAATGCATTCCACCTTAAAGGGAAAGTCTGGTATTGCCAACCTGGACCCTGTTTTACAATGTTTTGGTGTCTGAGTGTTCAACTATTTTTTAAATAAGAGAGAGCGCTGCAGCTGACAGCGGCAAAAAAACAGCCACTCAGGGCATTTAGCATCGTCAATTTACATCCATTAAAGAGCTTTTTTGCCACTGACAGGCTCAGATTGTTATTCAAAGTGTCCGACAACATTATTGGATGATCCTACAGAGGAATTCAACATTTTTCTTCACTTGTTTTCCTTTTGCATGATCCAGTCTGTTTGTTATTGTGTGTAAGGGCACATTCACACCAGGATACTCGGGGGACTCGGGTTCGATTGGGCGGGGAATGCTGAAACATTTGACACCTTCATTTGGTTGGGTTCACTTTCACACTGCACTTTTTAAAGCGGACCAAACCTCCTGGACAACGCTCGTTTGGGGGCAGTATTACCCGAAACGTCCACTGAACAGGAAGAAAAAAAAACACGAGGAAAAAGAAAACCCGGCTCATCGATTAGTCAGGACTAAAAACGGAAATCCATCCCCTTCAGCCGGCTTGGTCGCCACAGAAACAATGGAGCAACACCAATTTTATGCAGTCTTGGGGTTTCTGTTTTTTTTTTTACTTAATTGTTTTTTACCTGGGAGGCACGGTGGTGTGGTGGTTAGCACTGTCGCCTCACAGCAAGAGGGTTGCCGGTTCAATCCCGGGTGTGGGAGCCCCTCTGTGCAGAGTTTGCATGTTCTCCCTGTGTCAGCGTGGGTTCTCTCTGGGCACTTCAGCTTCCTCCCACAGTCCAAAGACATGCAGGTTAATTAGTGACTCTAAATTGTCCGTAGGTGTGAATGTGAGTGTGAATGGTTGTCTGTCTCTATGTGTCAGCCCTGTGATAGTCTGGTGACCTGTCCAGGGTGAACCCTGCCTCTCACCCAGTGTCCGCTGGGATAGGCTCCAGCCCTCCCGCGACCCTCAAGAGGATGAAGCGGTTAGAAGATGAATGAATGAATGTGTTTTTTTTACCTCTGCTTCTCCCGGTTTGCGCTGTTGGCTTTGTTTTTTAAATGCACTGCACTCTACGCTCTCTCTTTGGTTCGCTGGATAGTCTGTTTGCATTTCACCAGAGTTTGAATGAGCGTTCACACCACTCCAAATGAACCGAACTATCCTTGGAAGTGGACCAGGGTTTGTTTAAAGCGGACTAAATAGAGCCAGTGTGAATGCATCCTAAGAGTCTCGCTCAAGGAGAAGCCACTTCCTGAAATCTCGCTGACATTTTCAGATTGTCGAAATAAGCTAAAAACTCAGCCATGAATATTTAGAAAATCATTAAGATAACACTAATACCCTTTCATCAACCAAATATAGCGTGTGTATGCGAGTTTTTTAAACACAGGAAAACCTGCTAAATATGGGCAATAGACTCTTTTCCCATGCCAGTGTCTTTCTGTGTGTTTTTGCTTTTTATTTCCTTCTAATGTGTGACAGACTACACAGACGGGCTGGAAAACAGGTTAGCAAACAGTAGAAAGCAACAGGGAGGCCAGTGAAAATGTTACGGTCATTACTTCTCTTTTTTTATATCTCTTACTTAAGTCTCTCTCTAAAACTTGTTGCCGACTAATTTGGTAAGTTCGAGCGCTGCCTGGACGGACACAGACTTTAAAGTTTTAACCATTGTTTTTCCTGCAATGAGTCATCTCTCAGGAGATTACAGAACGAGACTTCTCCTCCAGGGAGACTTGGTTAAACACAATAACAAACAGAATGGTTCAAGCGAAAATGTTTCTCTGTTATCACACGTATAATTACAATCTGAGCCTCTTTTAGTGGACATAATTGATTGGTGCACAGTTGCCCTGAATGCTTACATTGCAGCCTGTTTTGCTTCTGCCATCGACAGCACTCCCGTTCCATACTGGACCTGTTCTAAAATTACTCATCTCCATTAGTCACGTAGACTCAGAAACATGGAAAAATAAGGTCCAGGATGAAAGTTACCAAAATTACCCTTTAAGTTGACAAGGAAGTGCTTTAACAGGTTTCTCAAATGCTTTGCTGAAACACAAAATGAAAGAGTGGACATAAATATCATCATTCCCACACTGAATTACATAATATACAACAATATTCATCCCCCCTGTAATCAAAAGACAACTTAATGTGAACAATATGTTCAGTAAATGTCCAAGACTACACATAAGAGCACACACAGAAATTAGAAACAAAAATGTCTTTTAAAGCCTTGTCCGTTACTACATGAAGAGCTCTATCCCAAAAGGCTATGTGTTCATTTTGGAGAACAAAACAAAAAAAATCATCTACTGTCCATCATGTAATAAAAATGTAAAAGATCCAGTCTGGAGAGGTGTTTAGTTGCGTGTACTAAAAAGACGAATGTGAAATGCTTTCAATCACTGTACAAGATGTGGCATCATTTTTTTTACATTACATCTAAGTGGTGGAAATCCTATTTTGGAATGAAACTCACATCCACGCTAATTTTAAAGAAGTGCAGACTCTTGTGAGGGACCCCGTGAAAGAAACAGATGTGATGCATCTGAGACAAACGAAGAGGAGATCCTTAAGGCACTTGAACACCATCAAACCGGAAAGACTCCCACCCACACCCGAGCAGAAAAAGCCCTCAGATCTTCCCAAGCCTCCCTAAATGGCAGTTTGTCTGCAAACTGCACCACCCAACCTCCCAAGTGAATGACGCTACTTATCTCTCCACCCAAATCCACATGAACACCAAGTGAATGCGTGGGCGAGCGCACGCTCTCTCTGTCTCTCTGTCTCTCTGATCTTTTCGTGTTACGGAGAGTGATTCATCCCCAAAGTGTTCTGATATCTACCTTGTGTGTGACGGCTCCGTGTCCCGGTTCCCGCTCCTCAGAAAGCTTGTTATCACGTAAAACACATCAAAAGAAACATTAGCACTTTGCATATGGAATCAAAAAGACAAATAAATATATAACTCTTTGGATGGGAGGATTCTGGTTTTTGGCTGCAAGTGTTTGTCGTCCACGTGAGGCAGTTAGAAGAGTTCTACAAAACTGTTAAGCTGTTAAGTGTTACACCATATGTGTGTGTGTATCCATTTCCTCATCCTCTCCTTGGTACTGATGAAGAGTTGGCTGCCGCTGTGACTCTGAAGCACCAGGAAGAGGTAAGCCTCCCTGTTTCCTAAACTGAACACAGACAGTGAAGTTAGCCATTAATCTGCACCGGGCTAGGTTGTGTTTTCACTGGTGAGCCTGCAGTCTGGAGGGTTTTTGGAGGTATGTTGATTGTTAGGGACGACCGTGGGTGATGGAAAAAGAGCCTCGCTGAAGCAGAGAAGCTTCCCGCATGTTAAAAGCGTCCTTGTATCTTTGTCAGAGCTGCAGATTGTCCTCCATCTACTGTACTCCTTTGCCCTCCTTTCCCACATTGAGGTCACTGACAGCCCTGCCTGTCCACCTCTTCTTTGGTGCTGGGCAGGATGGGAGGGCCCGGCCACTTTGGCCCACGGGCCGTTTAGTAGCAGTCACTCAGTCAGTTGTCATTAGCCACTCAGTTGTTGGCTTGTTGGCGTAGCGCCTCGTATAGTTTCATTGTCTGAGGGCCTGGCATCTGACGGCCCTTGTACAGAGTGGCGGTGGGTGGCGGTAGCATTTGGTTAACGGTGGAGCGCGACAGTGGCGCTAGTTGCCCACCAGGGGGCTGAGGTCACCGTGGTGGTTCTTTAGCTTCTTCTTGAAGAGGGAGATGGTGGAGGGTCGGTAGAGGATGATCCAAGGCTCAGAGGATGCCGTGCTCTGGCTGCAGCTGTCTGAACCGCTGACTGTTGGGATGTTTGGGGACCTGAGAAAATAGGAAAAGAGACAGAGATGAGAGGAACACGAGGGAGGGAAACATGAATCAGGAAAGAGAGTAATAGAAAGATTTACAAAGGGTGTCAAACTGCTTTCTAAATCCTAATGATGCATTCACTTCATGCCTGTTTATTATAAACACAAAGTAATGGCAATTACAGTGGTGGATGTTTTATAGGCTTCATTTACTTCCATTCATTCATTCAACTTCCATAACTGCTTATCCTCATTAGGGTCGCAGGAGGCTGGAGCCTATCCCAGCTGACATTGGGCGAGAGGCGGGGTACACCCTGGACAGGTCGCCACACTATCACAGGGCTGACACATAGAGACAGACAACCATTCACACTCACATTCACACCTACGGACAATTTAGAATCACCAGTTAATCTGCATGTCTTTGGACTGTGGGTGGAAGCTGGAGAACTGGCTGAGGCTGACAGCGCTAACTGCTGCATCACCGTGCTGCCCTGATAACATGTCTATCGCACTGCATCTACGACTATTGATGGTCAAAATGTAGTCTTAGTCTTATTCACCAAAAAACAGCAGCTACACCTCAGCTGGCAACATAGATTGTGCTTTGTTTTTAGATGATTTCAGTTTAATCTTGAATAAAGATTGAATATTGTGTCTTTTGGTGGAAAAGTTTAAGTCCCCAGTGTATTTTAGGAATCAAAAATAAAGCATTGTATTGTATTTATTAAGTCATTTTGAGGGGGAATAAGAAATTGAGAGACAAAAATCTATTTTTATTTATTATTATTTATTCAATTATTTATTTTTTATTTTATTCATTTGTTAAATCTTTTTATTACATTTATTTTATTATTTTTATTTACAAAAAAGGAGGTTTTCTACTTGAAGAAAAGGATTAAAGAATTACCAAGAATTCAAAACAGACTGTAATTTTCTGCTGCTGGGGGTCTCGTAATCATGACACTAACAAAACACTGAGCAATGCTGTCCTCAGATGCAGTCTGTTTCTTTCTTTTTTTTAAAGATATTTTTTGGGGGCATTTTTGCCTTTAATTGATAGGACAGACAAGTGTGAAGGCGGGAGACAGAGAGGGAGTGACATGTAGCAAAGGGCCACAGGCTGGAGTCAAACCCGGGCCGCTGCGGCAACAGCCTTGTACATTGGGCGCCTGCTCTACCTCTAAGCCACCGACGCCCCAGATGCAAACGGACCTGGTAATTAAAACTAGTTAAAATACTAAATAAAGTAGTTCCATGTTAAAAATCAGTGTTTCTCCAACACTGTTCGGCACAGCAGGGGTTGAAGCTGAGCTGCAGCTTACGTTTGCTCTGCTTGTTTCTCATATGACTTAAGATTCAGATAACTAATGACTAAAAATCTTTTTTCCGGTTAACACATAGAGTTAAAAACAACCAAGATGTACAAAGTGTACTCTTAAAATGTGGCTTAAAACTGTATAATACAACAATTTATGGCAGCGTCTGGCAGACAACCACAATCCTGACGCATAAGCAAAGGGGATATGACGCCACTTACAGGCGGTGGCGATCAAATGACACGTGTCCTTGATTAAATTTGAAGATTCCTCTGGGTTTAAAAATTGATGGAAACATTTGGGATTATTTTTAATGACACAAAACAACAAATTATTTCCCATTTTAACCTTTTTAGACATTTTAATGTGTATAAAAGTTACATATTATGTCTTTTGTCGATAGAGAAGTTTTCTCTCCTAATTTTATTCTTTTGTATTTCCTGTGTTACTACAACGAGGGGAATCTCTGAAATTCCCCTGTGTAGCTGTAACTTAAGTTATGAGTCACTGACAGGGAAAAAACAAGCGTCATGTAGCATTACTTCTATGTGTGATCATAAGAAGTCACTCTGGGCTGAAGCTTGGCTGAACGCAACTGGGAGAAAGCACTAAATCTCATTTTGTACATTTGTAAGACGCTATGATACATAAAAACCCAACACACTGCAACTTTAAATGTGTGAATGTCATCCTGTTCTTCTATCTTTTTCCAGTATGACATGAATGAAACATAATACCACAGATGAATGCTTCGACATTTGATGCTTGGTCGATCACGCACACCTCAAACATCCTCATACTTACTTGACCGTGATATGCAGCAGCAGCTTCGCCACCATGGCTATGACTGTCAGGATGAGAAGAGCAGCCAGAGCGTAAATGGTCCACACTGTAGAGAGGGAGCAGCGCGGTAACAAGACATCAGATATCGAATCACGGTAATGAAAATGAACTGAAGCAGACGGAAAGGATTAGCAAGTGAAAGATTATTCAAGCACTGCTGGCACACCTGTTAGCAGTGTTCAGCCAGCAAATTGTCAAGAAATGGTGATGCATTCTCAATGCACATCTGTTCTCTTCTGGGTGAGAAACACATCAGATATCCCTTTGAGACGGAGCGCTCAGAGTTTGGAAGGAGTAATATTTGAAAGAAGTAGAAAAGCACAGAACACGTCAGTCCACCCTGCGTAGCTTTGACAAGAGGCCTGATTGTGATCAGCAGGGAGACCCAAAGTAACTTCAGTTGTGAGTCACTGACAGGAAAAAACAAGCGTCAAGCAGCATTACTTCTAAATGTGATCACAGGAAGTCACTCTGGGTCGAAGCTTCCAGAAGCCTCTCATCAAACTAAGATGATTTTAATACTTTCAGAGAAACCAGGTCATGCAAAAATGGGAGCTCGAGCTCCCAGAAAGCTCCCACAACATCCCTGCAGAGGTAGAGAAAGGTGCAGTAGGTGCAGTGTATCATGGGTGTTAACATACTAGCGCTGTGGCCGGTGGTCTCGCCGCGTCCAGCCCACTGACCTGGCATGTTGTGCTCCGGTTTACCGGGGCTGGACGTGATCACGTAGAGGATTTGGGTGGAGCGTCCGTTAGAAGTGCTGTTGGCTCTCTCGGTGACGCCACCAGCTACCTGGGGCCCCGCCGTGCTGGAGACGCCCTCTCCTTCATCCTCCTCATCTCCTTCAGCCTCCATTGTTCTGGTGTCTTGGCTTCTCAGTGCTGAGGAAGCAAGAATAAGACCTGATTTAGAAATTGTTTATGAACAGTTGGATGTTCCTTACACTGTCAAGGCTACTTTTTGATACAACAAGGACATATGGAGCAACATTATCACATATTTGGTGTTGTGTTTCTGGCCACCTAGCACATGCAAGTCCAATATTCACTCATTGCTTGTTTGCTTTTGGTCTCCACCTGCCGCTGCGGGAAATATCTGAATCTTTAGTAGCTAATTGTTCTACTACAACACATTCTCACTCCGACCTCATCACATATTGACGTTTGGTCATGGACCTTCCACTTTCAGATACGATCTGAAAGGTACCTTGGGTATGTTGGTTGTTGACTTTCTGGGACGCCATTTCAAGTTCAGCCTGTTAAATACATTTCCTTTTTCACAGGCAATTTACCTTTTACGTACAGCACATCAACGCAAATTGACATTTTATTTCTTCCAACAACTAGCGCACATAGTTGGGTTTAGGAAAAAAGAACAGGGTTTGGCTTTATAATCTTATGGGATGCAAACTCTCCCAGGTGAAGGTCTGTGTTTATTGGACCCATTCACCACCCCTCCCTCCTGCCCTACTCAGTTTTGCTGCCTTAACTTTGTCCGGCGCATTTCTCCCTGACGCCGCCGAGCGCCGTTGAACTATAACGACAATCAGCCGCAAATCATGCCGATGTTAAAGGACAGCTTTATTCGTCAGTATCCGATGCTGCAAGTCACTGCCCAAGCGCCGGATTATGACGACTTTGGAGTGAGACCGTGCTGTCCACTACATTTACCAGCTAGTTGCTAACTTTGTCTGTCTACCGCTTGGTGCAAGGCAGGTGGCATACAGTGACATTTTAGCCTAGAACAGCTGCATACTGTGGCCAAAAACAATGCAGAGCAATAAATCAAAACAGTAAAGAAGTGGGCCGGAAAACCAAAACAATAAGCTACAAGATGCTTAAATGCTTTATAAAGCTGAGCAGAAACTCAGAGTTGGGTGACTTTTTCTTTGTGGCTTCATCACAAATGAAGCTACCACAAACTGCAGTTCCTCAAATGGCCACTCGAGGCTGGCTCCAAGGGCGAGTCAGTCCCCATATAGTAGACCCCATGCTAAAATGCTGACTTTACAGCAGAAATAAACATGCTTACAGCCTGGTACACACACAAAAAAACAAAACAATTTTGGTCTCTGTAGCTAATTTCCCCATCCATTACTGTACAGGGCATGAATTTTTATATAACTCACCCATTTAAGTGTCATTAAGGCTTAATGTAATGCACGATTAGGGGCGTGGACACTTTAAGTGAAAGGTGGGCTCTGTCTGCTGACAAGTCACTATCACATCAGCAGTATTGGTTAGGATAATGTAACCATAGTATAATCGCAGATTCTCAGAGTGTAAGTGTAGCCGTCGCTTCTTCTGTGTTTTCAGTTTATGAAAGTTAACTGTATTATTCCGGTTGCCTAAAAAGTTCAGCGTTTGGATGAACTAAAAGATCCTCTGGGGAGTCAGGTGTTCAGTTTTTCCAGCAGGTACATTTTTTTTTGTTTTACTGATTTTAAGCCTGTTTTTGATAGCAAAAATTAGAATTAGCATGATCACAGTTAACCATAGCTGTACATGCACTGTGCTAACCATGCTAGCAGCTAGCATTGGGGTTGGCTAAATGCAGATGTGGTGACCAAATATGGGGTGCATTCTGAATGCCATACTTTTTCTTTTTACTTTTAGTAAATATTGCAGCTGCCCTTAAAAAGAACGTACTGTTACATGTAGTATGCACACAATTGGGACATACTGCTTCCTCATAACATTAGGCTTTCTTACTCATATATCTGTTACCATGGTGAGAAAACAAAATGTCCTTCATTGAGCTCCATTAATACCATCAATATTCCTATTATTACCAATCAACTGGTCATCATTCACCTGAATGCGCTGTCATCTATCACTGTGACTTCTCACAGTTGATGTGCCGTATCTTTTGCTGCAGAGGATTGTGGGTCAGAATAGCCAGGAATGCATGCTGGCTTGTGACTGCAAAATCCGGCCACATGTAGAAGAACATCCTGGTATTTTTGGCATACTACTTTGACATAGCATGTATTGGGACATACTTAATCTTTTTCTGGCACACTATATAGTATGGTAGTATGGGTATTGGAACACACAGATGGTCGCCACATCTGGCTCCAAAAATCCAACATGGCGACGGCCAAAATGCCAAGGTCAAGGCTTCAAAACAGGAGTCCACAAACCGACGGGTGGCTACGTCCATTATTTAACAGTCTATGGTTCATCACTACAAGCGACCTCTTTAACATACAAGTAGTCAAGCTATCTATTGTTAATTCACACATATTGCCTATGGCTGCTTTAAAATCCACTAATATACTTTTATATTTGTCAATAACAACAAAAAAAAACACAACACTGTTGCTAAACACCGTCACATTTACTTATACTACAATCACTGACAGTTGTGAACAGCAAGTCTTTATTTAGCTCTATGTAATTTGCATATAATTATCCATGAACAGCAAAACACACAACAAAAAGAAAAAGGGTCGAAATAAGTTCAGAGAAGATGGAAGAGGCAAACCAACTGCCAGCTTCATTATTCAAACAAATCTATTATTCATTTTGTGCATCTTGAAATGTATGAATCATCGCTCAGTAGCTAGTTAGTTAGTTAGTCTTTCTATCTTCTTATTAATTTTGCTGATATACTTTATTTCAGGCATATTGCCCAGCCCTAATTGGACTACTGTTAGAGTTCTCTGCAGTGTGACATATCACCTCTTAAAAGTTGGACTATTTCTGTGTATTATAGACGTTCACAGCTCCCAGGGAGAGGAGTGGTGAGCGCTGTGTGTCGTGCCAGAGACACAAAGGAGGAAAAAGCTCTGCCATGTTGTTGTAATTTCTACAAGTTGAGGACACATATCACTTAACGCCCCTTTAATTATTCCCGTGGGTAAACAGGGCTGTTGCAGCAAGAACGCAGTAACAGGATACATCCCGTTGATCATGTTGTTGAAAGTGCTGTATATACGGTCATGAGTGAATATTTAATACTAACTGTGTTTGTTAAGAAACAGATTGACTTTGCAGAAATACTCATGCGTGCTGTAAACATGTGGCGTCGTAGCATTTCTGTCCGTTCCAGACATCATTCACAAAGTGTTTGCAATAAATTGTTTGTTTTAACCTGCTCACAGCACCAGATGTGGCGGAGTTTGCTTCATAAAACAACAGAGCCAAAGAGCCTGGACGGATTCGTCTCATTTATGTGTTCCCAGAGGAAAACAATATCCTAAATAAGATCTCATCTGCCTTTCATTTACTTCTCGTAAACACTGACATGATTTATTTAAAATCACTGTTTGATTTGGAGAATTTACCTTCTTGCTTCTGAGAAACAAACTGTGGCATGTCGCACACTGAAATTCTTGTCTCGCTCAACTTCTTAATCTCTTACTTTTCTGACATGTGGATTTGCAAGTGAGGTTTGGTGAAGAGAAGCATCTCGGAAGTCTATTAGCAGTAAGATGTGGTTTTCTAATTTGCCTCAAACACATCTCACAAAGAGCTGAGATGTTTGCGTCTCTTTCAATTGCTGCCGAGTTGGTAGGAAGCAGAAATAATTAAGATATTAGTGATTTCAAATGAATTTAATTATAAGTGTGAGCTTGGGACCGTGTTCACAAAACATAGACAGAGACATGTCAGTCCTAACTTTAAATTTTGTCTGAAAGCCTTTGAGAGCTAAAACTAGCCATTACGTCTACAAGTAATTGATTGGACAAGAGGCATTTCATGAGAGTACGACAGCACTGGGGCTTACTCTGCTTGTCAGGTGCTCTGAACTGTTACCTACATTAACCCTTAAATAGCATACATTAAGAGGCGATGTAACCACCTTTGCACCACAAAGACGCACATATTTCTACAATAACAGTTGAATCAAATTACAAATGGTCATAAAAGGAGTACTAAGGGAAGAAAGAAGCCAGGATGCTCCACTGCAAACCTTCAGGTGTGCTCATATGACATCAGCTGATGTCGCAAGATACTGTTGGTGTGTCTCAAATTACATACTTCCATTAGTATACTTCTATGTAGTATACTGTGTGCACTACATTCTCATTGGCGTAGTGCGCAAATTTGGACATGTTGTCTCAAACCAAACACGGCCGTTGTGCACTCACCGGAAATGACGACCGCAAATTAGCTAGTTAGCAAACTAGCATTAGCATTCGCGTTATCGTTCTCGGTACCAAATCATTACAGACTGCTAAATTAACCCAACAAACATACTGCTGGCTTATACCCGACAACAGTATAGTGGTGCTTAGTGCAAAAAACACATGTATATTTGTACAATGCAGCGATGTTCACGGTCCCACAGTCCTCGGCCACTATTTCCAGTTTGAGAAGTGGTCCCTCCCCTTCCGCTATGAAGCCAAGATGGCGACCATTGAGGGCAAGAAGTGTCCATAGTTCGACACTCAACTTCTTGACCGTTTTGAGTGCACCATCCGGGTACTCATAGTGCACTGCAGTTTTCCATACTTTTATGATACTTCTACATTTATGCACTCAAAATATTAAGTGTAAGTACAGAAGCATGCGATTTGAGACACAGCACGTGTAATCAAAAGAAAATGAAAATGTAAGAAAATGAAACTCTGCTGCTTGTTACAAGCAAAACACACCATAACCAGATTCTGGAAATCCACTATTAGATCAAGTTTACAAGCCTGGCTTACCGGACACACTCACACTCTCACACTCTGTTGCCCTACTTTTATGATTAAGGGTAATTATTCTACTTTTGATAGGATACGGGGATGTTTTATAACATTTTCAGAGGGGGAAAGGCTTCAGAAGTTTACTCGTCTCTTGAACGCAACATATTAATGTACTTTTTTTCTCTTTCTTTCCTTTAGACTGTCAACACTGATTATTTATTTTGAACCTTGGAAAAGTACTCATTGTATTGCCCTATCGTAGCAGTTGTTATGAAGATGATACCTTAAGTGAATGTTCTATTTTGTACTTGTTTTTTGTTGTAGTTTCTGAATCCAATAAACACACAGCTTTCTGAAAAGATCCTATGAGGGAACTCATAGCTTTAAACTTTAGCCCCATGTAGGAGGCCTCGTAGTAATGTAAGATACTAAGAATGACCGACAAGCTGCACCCCAAACTAAATGCTTAACCCCACCCATCTTGTATCCCACGTAGTTTAAATCAAACACCCAGAACGAATTCTAAGTACTGTTTGATCCAGGCTTGTTCCACTCTTCCATGAATGGTGGTTAGATGTTAAAGCAGCGTGGGATTTTTTTTTCTCTTTTCACATAACAGTTCAATCTGACTGTGATGTTCCCAGAAACTTCCCACATGTTCCCCATTTGCAAACAAAATACCACGCTTCAAACCCGGGCTCAGCTGAGACGCTCCGCCATCGTCATCTGAGAGCGTTTATTCTGAAATCACCGCTTCGACCGCTCAGTGTGCCACAGAGGACATATTAGATGTATTTAGTGCTGATATGCGGTTGTCTTTTCTGTTTCTGTTGTTTGTCTCTGTATCTCCGTCACTATGTATTTTTCTCACCACTTTTCTATGAAAAAAAAAAAAAAGCTATTACTTCAGGAGGTGACCTTTTCTCATATAATATCTCAGATTTCATTTCTTGGCTACATGATGCCTTACACAAAACAAGGCGTGAACAGAGAGGAGCGTGCCTGTCCAGAGGTCAGAGGATTCTGACCTTCCAATATATTGTTTTTACTGTAATGCCACTGGCGAGAAAAAAAAAGTGACGGAGGATTACAAATGGAGGCAGAGAGGGAGGAGCGGGGACATATTGCCTCCCAGTGTATCGAGCTGTGAGCTTGAATGTCACCTACAGTGAATTATATACGGGTGTGCTTCTCTCATGCATCCACAAATTAATCTATTAAATCATTTTTGGTGCGTTCACGCAGAGACTCCTGAGATAACGCACAGCCAAACAACAGAGGACAGCTTTTCTTTTTCCACATTAGTCTTTCTACATTTTCCACATTAGTCTGAAGAGATAAAAAATAATTTGCCGTGAGGTCTTCAACTTTCTGTGAGCAATATGTCTGCTCCAGTCAAATCATGCTATCAGAGTGTGCGATGCATCGTAGTATTTTGTATGTAGGTGGCATAAAAACTCGCTGTGGAATTCACCAAGGAACGCTCTGGAGAAACGAAGCAGCCTGCTGCAGCTTGATAAGAGAGTGAGTTCCTAGAAAAAACAACACATTATTTAAATATGCAGAATCACCCGGGGCTGTGAGACATTGACTAGCAAATGAAAAGAGAAAAGGGCCTGCCAGTGGCGTGACAACAGCCTCACCACAGCTAACAGGCGTTAGTCTACGAAACAAGGGCTGCCATGCAAAACGCCAGCGAGCCAGCACGCACATGATCATGCAAACATGGCTCTTGTTGGGTTTGGTTCAGGATGTCTGCTAGACGTGATACTCTGTCATAGGCTTTAAAGCAAATTCACAAAACCAATCTTCATTCGACACAACCTTCCTCACCATAAACACCAACTAGAATTATCGCATCACAGTCGAATGCCTTCTTGAACCAGTCAAGTTTCAGTCACAGTTTACAATCATGTTTGTCCAAAACCATATGTAACCATGACAGTTAATGATGTTGCAAATACAGATGCTGCTGCAAAGAAGCTACAAAATTAAAAACATGGATGCTTCACACACATCCTCTCTCCCCCTCGCAGCACAGAAGATCTGTACAGTCATCGCAGATTCAAGATGGGCACCCAAGATTAGTGTCAACAATTTAGTATTCAACCAAATGCCTCGCCATCTGTTCCCAGTTATGATGCTGAATAATGGCCAAAAATGTGTTTTTGCAGAATATTATGATGTCACGGTGAAGCTGACCTCTGATCTTTTGGACATGAAATGACATCAGTTCATCACTTTATTCCAATAGGCAGTTGTGGATTTTTTTTTTTTACATAATTAGTATATAAATTATTGAGTTATGGTCGAAAACATGTTTTGTGAGGTCACAGTGACCTTGACCTTTGACTTTAGACCACCAAATTCTAATCAATTCATTGTTCTCACGCTCTCAGATTCTGAGAAGCTGGTTCTTCTTCATCTGCTAACATTCATGTCCTGTGACTGCATGTCAGTAACTCAGCTTCCTTTTCGGAGCCTTTGTGCTTCACTGTCTCGCAGGTTCCCACCAATTGTGGCTATGATTATTATTGTCACATACGTATACTATCAAATATTAGTAAATACTAATAACATATATACTACCAAAATACTATTATTATTATATTACTAAAATTATTGTTATTGTAGCTATTGTCATTACTGTTTACGCTGCATCTCTCTCTGTCTCACTTTGTTTGTCTCTCTTCATGTATCATTTGATCTTTTCTGTACACTTGACATCTATTGCATGTCTGTCCCTCCTCAGTTGCTCTTCCTGAGGTTTCTACCATTTTTTCCTGTTAAAGAGGTTTTGGGGGTAGTTTTTCCTTATCCACTGTAAGGGTTCAAGGGACAGAGGGATGTCGTATGCTGTAAAGCCCTCTGAGGCAAACTGTGATTTGTGATATTTGGCTTTATAAATAAAACTGAATTAAACTGAAATGAAAAAATTCCACAGACGCATTCTTGAGATATCATGTTCGTGAGAATGAGACAGATGAGCTCACAGCTGACTTAACCTTTGAGCTTTGACCACCAAAATCTAATCAGTTCATTGTTGAGTTCAAATGGACGTTTGTGCCAAATTTGAAGAAATTCCATCGAGGCGTTATTGAGATATTGTGTTCATGACAATGAGACAGATACAAGAGCGCTTTGACCTTGACCTTTGATGACCGAATACTACTCAATTCATCGTTGAGTCCAAGTGGACGTTTGTGCCAAATATGGCCTTCATGTGATATTGTGTTCAAAAGAGTGGGATGGATGCAAGGTCACGGTGACCTTTGACCACCATATTCTAATCAGTTTTTAGTTGAGTCCAAATGGACGTTTGTGCCAACTTAAAGATTTTTCCTCAAGGTGTTCTTGAGGTATCATGTCCATGAGAATGAGACAAATGAGGTCACAGCTAACTTGACCTTTGACTTCTGACCACCAACATTATTAATCAAATCACCAATTTTAATCATTTAATCAATTTGAATCAGTTCACTCTTGAGTCCAAGTGGAAGTTTGTGCCAAATTTGAAGAAACCTGAACACATAAAAAGCCTTCGGCCGCTACTATCTCTGGCACAAAGGGATAAAAAGACAGTGAAATCCTACCTTGGTAAAGCAGAGCAAATCCCTGGGCCTGGTTGGTGCGGTCTGAGTAGAAGTACAGTATGACAAAGTCCCCGGTGATGTTCACCAGCTCCCTCGGCGGGCTGCGCCAGTCAAAGCGTGCCACCACCTGGTTGCTGTAGCCATCCAGTAGCTCCACCATGTCGGTCTGGTCAGAGATCTCAAAGAAGGTGAAGTTGAAGAGGATGGCATAGGCTCCAGGAACCTGAACAGTCCAGTAGCAAACACGGCCAGCTCCATACTTGTCGGGAAAATCAGGTGAGTAGATCACTCCTGATGGAGCGGATTAGTTTCCTCCGCAGGCTCCGACTCGGGCTGGAAGACAGAGCACAAAAAAAGAGAAAAAGATAGTCAGTAATATTTACTATAAAAGCTTTTTACGATTGTTCAGTGTACAACTGATTACTGGGTTATTTTTGTCCCAGGATTTCATGGTATTGAATGGGGATGCATCATTCCGTTACACCAGATTGGTATCGGTTTCCTTAATGACTTTATTAAGTGGATGTGGTATGAGCCATGGTGTGACTGATCCACACTGAGTACAGTTTCTTTGTCAATGTTGTCATAAAAATTCAGTGTTTTTACTGTGAGTTACTTTCCTTCAGGTCACAGCGACCTGCTGACTCTCATTTTAGCACCACAGTAGTGGCTGAGCTCGAGTTAAAAATGACTGCGATGCGTTCCATCCAGTGAGGTACACAGATTATAATTTGGGAAGAAGAGAAGTATGAGATCAGTTCTTCAGTATCTGCAAATACCTTGAGTTAAAGGGAAATTTTGGTTTATTTCAACCTGTCTCCTATCGTCCTAAATTTGTTTCAAGTGACTAGTGACCTAAAAATAATAGTTAGCATGTTAGCCGTTAACCTAGATACAGCAAAATCAAATTCCTCCTCCACAAAGTCGAAGTCTGGCAAAAAGTCAGCCATTATTCTATAAATCTTTCATAAAAAAAATGAATGAACTTTTCAGGCTACTGTCCGGTTCTGCCTTCCAGCTGTTGCTGCTTGCTCTCGCGATATTTCGGCCGTGCTTTGGAGAGCAGAGCTAAATGGTAAACAAACATGGCAGCACACTGGTAAGGTAAGACAACACGTTTACATGTCGTTTTCTATATGTTCTCTGACATTTATCCTAACGATATGAGGCGGTCTTTGTAGAAAAAAAGCTTGTTTAGTGGACTAACTTTGCACTTGAAGGTTGCCCTTTCACTTACGTTTTAACAGGTCTGACGCTACTATGCGCCCCAGCTGTATCTAGGCTAACGGCTAACATGCTAACTATTATTTTTACGTCACTAGTCACTTGAAACAAATTTAGGACGATAGGAGACAGGTTGAAATAAACCAAAATTTCCCTTTAAGGAATCACAGTTGGTATCAAAAGAGAAAAGGCTGGACAGCTAGTGAAGATGCTCTTTAGACTAAAAAGCTGTTTAGTACAGTTCTAAGGCGTACATATATTAAAAGTCCAGTGTGTGGGATTTAGGGGGATATGTTGGCAGAAATGTAATATAATATTCAAAAATTGAGCATAGCGTTAGTTCAGTCAGGACATGATGTCAAGCTCAGCTCACATCCCAGCTACATCAGCTGATCTCAAACAGTCAAATCAACTGATGGAGCAGCTGATTGATGGAAGGGAGTCAGCTGATAGATCAGACGATTCCTTTCTATGCAACCGATTGGCAAATCTCATTCAGGCCTGCCTACTGTTCCTGCTTCCTCTGCAAGCCCAACTGCAACCCGCCTCAACCCCAGCTCCTCCTTTTCATGCTGTGTCTGACTCATTTCTGTCATTCTGTTCCCAGGGGTCTTTGCTGCTGCTCTCCCTGCCTTAGGCTTTCAATGTAGGCGCATGGAAGGGTAGGGAGGTTTGCTCTCTGTGCCTCAGGCTTTCCTCTTTTGCACATGGAAGGGCAGAGAGGTGTGTTCTTTGTGTCTCAGGCTTTCCTCATTTGCATGTGGAAGGGCAGGGAGGTGTGCTCTCTCTCTGCCTTAGGCTTTCCACGTAGGCTTGTGAAAGAGGCTTTCTGTGTAGGCCCGAGGAAGGGCAGAAAGGGGCCCCAGAACAGAGCCATACCACCAAATATAATACTGCAAATGGAAATAAAGTTTTCTTTGGCTGACATGTTCCTGACTGAACAATGTTTTCATTAGTTTATAATCACCTGACACTAAGAATTGCTGTATTTTTGTTACCTTTGAACGAGCTGTTTATATCTACACAGGGAGCATGCCCAGGAAGTTCGCCATATTGTTTCTACAGTAGCCAAGAATAAACAAACTAATCACTGGTTCAAGATCTACATCGGCCTGTGTAGTTTATGTACATGCTTGGCACATGGGAGAAGTTTCAGTTGGCTGCAATCTACAGCATCACCACTAGAAGCCACACAATCCTACACATTAGATGTTAAAATATGTAAAATACTGTATCAAAACTAGTGTTAATGAGCAGCAATGTGGAAAGCTTGAGGTCTGATCACAGTGGTGGGTGAGGAAAGGAGGGGTGTTGGCAGGCGCGCCTGTATCTGGCTCGTGTGATCAAGATGATATCCAAAAGATAGGCATTAATCAACTACCCGAAACAAACTGCCAACTTTATGCATTATAGTAGCTAGAGCTGTCAAGACAGAGGACTGAAAAGGATAGAGACAAGGACTGAGAGCTGCAGCACTCTCCAGGGTGTGTGTGTGTGTCTCTTTGAGTGAAAGTGAGAGGGGAGGTAGAAGGTGGACTATTGCACACAATGTTTATGTATGTAGGTCATTAATAACTGTTGGAACACTGCTTAGTCCCTGGCATGCCTGCCTGAATCCGTGATATTTTCTAATAAGCGTACCCGATCCTACACAACTTATAAAGTCCCTCACACCTCTGCTTATTTTCTCCTTTTTGTTTCTCTCTTTTTTCTGAGCACCTGACTTTTGACAGCTGGCCATCACAAATATGTATTTTCGACATATTATTCCAGCAGCTTCTTTAAAGGTTCTTTGCCCTCAGGGCCCGAGACAACTGATCCGGTGATGTCCGGGTGTTGGCAGCCATGGATGTTACTGACAGGCAAATTTATTTGTGTGCCTTCTGGAGATCAACTGGAGCCTGACTCAACAAAACATCTTTGATGAAGGGCATTAACACCAGTGACAGACCTGCCCTCACCTCAGGTTTATAACTGCAGGCACTAACCCACAGAGCACTACAGATACAGATCTATTTGTTCAAGTGATTTACCTTATATTACTTTGGAAATCTGAAAGTTCAAGTTCACAGTATTTTCCCCGTAGAATTCAGTAAAGTTCAAACCAAATCCCAGCACAGGTGTGAGAAGATCACAGATGTCGGACCCAGAGCGCCACTAGTTAACACTCACTGTCGAAAATGATGACCCAGCCGTCTCCACCGCAGGGCTGGGTGTGGTCGCCGAAGCAAACATGGTTACACTCCATGCTAGGGGACTCGCCGTGGTCAGGCTGGTCAACTTCGTTGCCACAGAAACAGGCATATCCTGACTCCATGCCGGCAAGCTGCAAAACACAAAAGGAGTTATGCAAATCATCGCATCAGCAATTCAAAACACTTCCCATAATGCTATTCATTAATGCCAAAGTCCAACGACTGAGAGAACAAACTCTGTGGAGGAAACATGAAGATTTGGGAAATTCTCAATTCACAATGGCAATTTTCCCCCATAAATTCTAGACGATTATTACACGGCTTTGTTGAATACTCGATTGTAATTGGTCAATTATGGCATTTTATGGTCTGTTATTTCTGAGCAGCAGATTGCTGGATGGATAAAAAGCGTTGCTATGGACGCAGTTCTGATCATAGATGCTTATACCACTTTTTAACAGTCATGGGCTGACTTGGCTTGGCTTAGCTTGGCTTGGCTTGGCTTGGGCCGTCAGCTCAGCACAGCAAGGATTTGCATCTCCATCACAACAGGGCTACCTACTTGAAGGTGCGTCTTAAACTGTTGACAGCTTGTCTTGGGTGATTACATTTAAAATCAGAGTGACGATCCACGGCTAAAAGTAAAGCAGGGCAGCTAAAAGAAGTTTACCTGTTGGAGGTGAGCTGTTTGCAGAGGTGCGGTAAGAGCCTGTTGTCTGCAGCTCTTCATCAACATCTCACTGTGGCTGTTTATGCTTTCATTCTTCCTACCGTACTACTAGACCTGCCTTTACTGAAGAGAAGCTGCTAACAAATTTCTGCTGATTCAGTAATAACACATTTCATAGATTCTTCATAATAAAAGTCCTCCCGCTTGTTATGTATAAACCTTTATTGTGACGCACTAAAATAAGGAATTGTTGAGTTTTTGGGCAGCAACTTTGCACAACTAATACGGCGAAAAGTGAACATGAAACAGTAAAATAAAGCAGATATCTTAAGTAAAAACAGGACGCAGGAGAGAAACTAAACTGAGATTGAGATGGAAGCTACTAAACTACTGAGAGCTGAACACAGAGACTTCTAAAGCAACTTTCTCTCTGGTCTCCTGCAGACAGAGGGGAGGAGAGTTTCATAACACATGCTTGTTTTGGGGGGAGAAGGGAGGTTTTTGGGGGTTAGCTACGGTTGGCTAGACGTCAGCGCTACCCGCTTGAGGGCAGGCGGCTCAGCTTTTGGATCTACTCCTAAGAAGGTCCATCTCAGGTGAGGCTTGGCGCTGCATGATGCGTCTAAACTGGCAATTGAAACACAAATTGTCGAGGCATGGCTTGGCTCGCGTGGAAAAAGGGTATTAGTGGAAGGAAGCTTATCATTTTTAAACCAATACTGTGTCAAATTATTAATTAATGTCGTGAGAAGCTGTGTAATAAGCAGGATCTCCATATCGCCCAGCCTTGCTTCAGGGTGATAGAACAACTGAAGCAATCACCCCGTCCAGATTTATGTCACAGTAATTACCTGCTTGTTGCACATAAAGTTTGCATTAATAAAATAAGTTTGCAAATACACATAACACATTCAAATAAAGCTACTTCTATAGGTTGTTTGTCTCAGCACTATGTGACATTGTGTTAACATTTAGTAAACAGTTCACTGCATGGAGCTCCTTCTCTCTTTGAAATTGCATTGACTTGAGTCTAAAACACCCTAATTGCTCTCTCTCTCATGATTACAAGATGCTGCAGCCTGAGTCTGGATAACCACAACCTCTTAGCTGATTAGAAGCCTCCTTTCAAACACACAGCTGCACACAGGGTGTAGAGAGTAAACCTCACAGAAATAGCACCTATCTGTCTTCCAAATCAAAACTGTTAGTAAACTGTTCCTGAAGGCGTCGGAGCAGGAATGCAAAACATCAGAAACCTTCACACATCTTGACCTCGCCACCGCTGGCTGCTTGTTCTCAAAAGAGCTATTGTCCTTCATTCAAAAGGACACCATTGTCCAATATTCGGGCCCTAAATGAATTCACACAACTGAAGGTACTGCATCATTTCCCACTCTGCGTGTTCTCTCATGGAATAGGAATTTATGGAGCCCGTGCTCTCGCCAAGACGTATCAAGCTCCGTCCTTGTTGCATTATTCTATCTGATGAAGTAACACCAACGTGAATACTTCTGGCAGACGCAAACAAGCGATGGATCGCTGTCTCACTCATCAGGCATGCTCTTTGTCAAAAAGTCACACGGGATCCATATTTCCGAGCACCGACGATTCACACGTGCATTAAGGACAGTGACAGTCCAAGGGTAGGCAGAGGATGCCAATCTGCCGCCACATCCTGTAACATCTGCTGAATTGAGAGGGGAGGAGGGAGCTGTCAGTATCTGTCAGTGCAGACTGAGCTGAACCGGATCTGCCGAGACAGAAAATGAACACCTGGCACTGTTTATAGCTGGGACAATGGCATGCCAGACACGGAGATGAGGAAAATGCATTGAAGAGGAGGTGCCCACTGGGCTAATAATCGTTCATTTCCAGCTGTCAGCCTTGATTGCCGTGATGATTTGTCATCCGCTGGTTGGTTTGAAACACGACGTTTGATGGCTGAATAAAGAGGGCATAGACTGCACTGGACATCATGGTGATGACTGTCAGGAAATTGCCCGTAAATGCAGATGATTTGCATAAAAGCTTGACTGTTGCGAGAGCCAGCTCATGTCCATTTTAGACTTGACACGGGCAACTGACTAGACACTTTTATTTAAACTAATGGGGGAACACATTTTAACTTTCCAGTACAAGTGCTCAGATAAAGCAGTCTTTTTTCTCTTTTAGTTTTGAATGAATTCTCCGACAGAAGCTGCCAGCTTTAATCTAAGTTAAAACACTGTACAGTGCTCTTAAGGTACAGGTTTTCTTTTCATTTTATACACTTCAACTTTAGGTTCAAATCCAACACATTCTCACTCACACCTCCTCAAATATGGACATTTGATCAGTGGCCTGTCACGTCAAAACATGACGCCTTAGGCACCCTTCCTACGTCAGTTTTGGACTAAATGGCGTGTCATCTTATGCTCATTATATGCATCGTCTCTTTTCAAACTAACCTTCAGTTTCCACAGGTAATATACAGTTTCCATTCACTAAATTCATACAGTCAAAACATCATGGTTTGGTTTAAAATAACTGTTTGTAATGATATGATATAATGTCATGTGACCTACTTGATTAACATAGTGTGCTTACACTTTCTAGCACACTACATCGTTATTAAAAACTCATTGACTTTTGGTTTCACATGGGACACGTACAGCCGGCTGGTTGATAAAAGTCCAAAGTTTGTCAGACCCATTCACCTCACCTCTCGCCTAACCTCTCAGACTTTCTCACTTTTTATACTACGGTACATGCCTGAAGGTTCAACAAATGCTGCCAACCAGGGCGTCTCAAACCGCTGCTAAAGGGTGCCTCTGTGCATCAGTGTCTGACACCCACAGGCCACTGACCAAGCACTGATATTTGACAAGTTGGGAATGACACCAGGTTGTCAAAACTCACCTTGTATCTCTGCTTCCTACAGAAGCTAATGCAGTTCTGGATGGTGAGTTTGTTGGAGGTCTCGCTGCTGCCGGACAGAGTGGGCGGGTCTCCGCTGTCTTTGAAGCAGCCCAAGTTCCCAGGCACTGTAGAGAGACAAGATGAGGGTGAAAAAAAACAATCAGTTACACACAACTTGATTGGAATCGGTATCATATGCTGATTATGAGCATTTCCTGTGCAAATATAAAGGTGTTTTTCGTCATTTAGAGTTTCACATCCAGGTTTCCTCTTAGTTCCTTTGCAGGGATCACTTCCTGGTTTCTATTTTATGAAACACATCATACGCTGCAGGCCTTGAACCGCTATTATAGCTTTGTCAAAGTCTTAAAGGGAAAGAGTGCACCCAAAAATGAAAATTCAGCCATTATCTACTCACCCATATGCCGAGGGAGGCTCAGGTGAAGTTTTAGAGTCCTCACAACACTTACGGAGATCCAAGGGGAGAGGAGGTAGCAACACAACTGCACACCTAACGGCTGACGGCGACCCAGATTAAAACATCCAAGAACACAGAATTGAAACCAACTTTTTATGTCGGGGCTTCAGGACACTTGGATCACTACGGACGAGCAGTATGGAGATATTTTGTGGTTTCAATTCTGTGTTCTTGGACATTTTAATCTGGGGTGCCGTCAGCCATTAGGTGTGCAGTTGTGCTGTTACCCACTTCCCCCTCGGATCTCCATAAGTGTTGTGAGGACTCTAAAACTTCACCTGAGCCTCCCTCTGCATATGGGTGAGTAGATAATGGCTGAATTTTCATTTTTGGGTGCACTATCCCTTTAAAATCATGTTTGTGATTAACACTTTGCCTCAAAGACCCGCCCCCAAAGAACAATCTGTGATGAAATACTCAAAAAGTCTTCAGGCCTCTAGAATGTTTGAATGTTTTGGTGTGAACTGCCAACAGCCAAGCCAACAATTTGGCCTCTGAAGAAAAGAGGAAAGGAGGAGGAGGAGTTGGTGAGAGGGAAGAGGGGTGAAGGGGACATGGATGTTTGAGTCATTGCGAGAGAGAGAGAGAGAGCTGGAATCTAGAAAATGTACTTTGTCAGATGTGAGCACAAGTTGCATCAGATTAGGGGTATAACGTTTTCTACATGTGTGACTGTGTGCGTGTGGTGAGAGTTTGATGTGCCAAGAGCTGAAAAAGAAATTCTTATGTTGCACCTTTCCAGAAGGTATTTGACAAATTGCAATGTCTGGAAGGAGGCCAAGTCCAACACCTTAGGTCTACATTAAACACTGTTTCAAGTTTAACCCGTCGAGAGCACAAAAATACGGAAGCCCTGCAGGGCAAGCGAGAAACAAACTGTGGTGATCTATTCTTTAAAATCTGATCTACGTTATTTTCTTCCCTGTTTTCTGTCTGGGGTTTAAAAACAGGTAAAAGTTAAGTTTGTTATTTTATTTTTCTTCCATCTGTGAAACAGATGAGGAAAGAATTGCCAGGTTTTTTTTTTTTTCATAATCAGTCACTTTTTATCCGTGACAACAGGTGGAATGACGTTTTGGCAGGTTTATTTGTAAGTTGTGTGGATAAATTGTGTTTGTTATTGTGATACCATACCACCAGGACTAAAAGCATTCGTGTTTTTCTCCAGGTGAGTTTTAATTTCTGCTGGTGACACAATGGGTCTCATTCATAAAACATAAGCAGGACGAATCTGTGTAAAATTTCTATGCATTTCGGTATTCATCAATATGTTAGTAGCTCCGATCTTTTCGTAGGTACTATCAAAATCTACACCTGCTTCTAACGGCTCATGGTGCTTGAGTAAATAAGATATTGCACATTAATGTTGCTTGTCACAATTAGAAGGTACAGTTTTATTTCGTATTGTGCTCTGTTATGTTCACAATATGCAGATGCTTTTGAAACATGTGAGTTAAATATGACAAGAGCTTAAAAATATAACACATTTAGTTTGTCGGCATTTGGCAGATTTAAGCTTCAGATGAGGGTTATTAGAAACGTGATTCCAAAATCAGAAAATGCTGTTCTCTGAATTAATAAAATGACAAACCAACGCGCTCCTCCTCTGCAATCTTTATGCACCGCAGCCCCAAACTGCATGTCGTTTTTGTTTAATTTAATTATCAGAGACACGATGTAGGAGATGTAAACATTATTTGAAATTTACTTTTGGTTTAATAAGACTTGTGGACGTGCAAAGCAATTCGGCATCTGTCTCTGCTCACACTGGGCAGCTGTTGAACTCTAATCTGGCAGAGAGTTGGAGGGAGAGGGTGTGGTTTTATGCAACACTGTCTCACTAGTTGTTAAACTTAACAACAAGTAAGCCCGTCTGCAGCGGAGAGAAGTGACTGTGTGTGCTCGTGTATTTTTTGCATTGCAAGGTTCATGTCGAACCATTTTCATTTAATTTTTTGGATGGTTTTTACAACAGATGACACGCAGTTAACAGCCACGTTACCTCCTTCCAGGCATTTGGTTTACCTGTCCCTGTCACAGCACTAATAACAGAAGAAAATAAAATGTTTTTCTAAACCCCACTTCATCCAAAATAACTTAAATCTTGGAGCCAGAAAAGTTCTTCTGTCTCTCTTTCACTTTCTTTGCTTACTCCATGTTCGCAGGTTTACAGGATGCACCAATCCATAGTAATTATCACCTCCATATATGGCGGTCACAGGCTTTTCATGGGTGAGAATGCATGCTAATTGCTGAGGAGTGGGAGCAAGCTGCCAAGGTTTTTATGTGCAAATCTACACACAGATTTACTAACATTTCTTGAATCAGGACCCAATGTACATATATTGTGTGTTAGTAAGTTATGTAACATTACTGCCATTTATTTCTTTGGTTAGAAATGTATTTTAATCTTTGGTCCTTTTTAGAATGAAGGGCAGTGATGCCTCTTGTGGTCGAAATGAATATTACAACCACCGACAAAAACATGATCTAAGCATTTTTTTCCACCTGTTTTCAAAGATGAAAATACTAATTTAGAAAAAATTGATTTTTTCCCATATAGTGAAACGTTTTTTTTTTCCTGTCTTTTTTTCTTGCAGTTTTAAAAAGGCGCTTACAAAGAAATCCTGGCAAAACTTTTTTTTTCACCTGTTAAGTCATAAAAAAATAGTCTCGCTCACCAGACCTTTCTCAAGAAAACAAAGGTCTGGCTGGGCCGACTCTCACTTTAAGATTGGAGAAAAAAACGCCCCGGCTGCTTGTATTTCTTTCAACCAATCACAATCGTTCTGGGCGGTGCCACAGCAACGGTGCGCTTGCAAAAATATTGCCGGGGGGAAACAGGTTTTGGTGTAACACGCCTACAAAAATATCACCTACAGGACGCGAACCATGGCCGAAAAATGGTTACATCCCCGCAAGATCAAACACCGCAAAAGTTAGTAAAGGACGTGTTGAAAATGGTTGAAAACTGCTACACAACCGGAGGTGGTAGGGCGGGACTTCAGCGGGTGGCTCGTTCCGCCCAATGAGAGGCTGATCTATGCAGCGAACTTCCGCCCACTCAGACTATAAAAAAAGGACAGAAAGCAGACTTAGAAAATGGATCACTACAACTTTTTTATCTCACTTGCCCCTCAGGGCTTCCGTACAAAAGTGAGAGTAGTGCATAAGTGAAAATTCATGCTCCAAAGTTTTCGGTTTCGGGGGTTGCTACGTGAGACCTACTTTGGTCATGCTTTCATCCAAACAAGCAGCAACTACATACAACTTCTCTACATGTCAGTTTTACTTCTTTATGCCCTCCTGGTTTGACCTTTGTTGCAACCCATCACATCAATAAGTACTGAACATTAAAATGTTTGTTAGGTGAGACCTGGGGATGTTTGACACAAATAGGCCAACAATCGCAGATGGATCATAAACCAAACAGATGGAAGATGGATGTTGACAACTTTCAGATCATATTCGAGTCAGACGAGTAGAACCACCTCCCTTAATCCGCTGTGTATTCATCAAATACTATGCAATCTCTCTGAATCCAGCGCAGTGATTAAACACTCCAAAGCCTTTAAATTCAACGTAATAGCTCAGGAAGTGCCAACAAAGCCTCCAGCAGTCTATCTCCCACTTGTGATTTGTTTTTCACTGCGATTCAAACAGACTCACTCTTGTTTCATTTCCATTTTCTGAGGTGAAACGAATTTGACAAACAGAAGTAAATGCACAATCTGAAAGTAATTTCCCCTGCAAGTACAAAAAAAGTCACCCCAAAAACCTCCTCAGTCTAATAGGAAGTGGTGTCATCTGACCGTAGGGCACAAACACGCTCATTAGGAAAAGACAGCACAGACAAGACTGTGTCCAAAATAGCTGTCAACGTTGCTCTGAGACACAACACGGACGCAGAAATCAAAAGCATGTGACATTACAAAACACCCTTGTTCTTTATCAAGCATCTCTGATTTCCAAATTCATGCGGGTTTCCAAATGCAAGTTAACTGATGCAAAGAACCGCTTTAATACAGAGGTCAAACTGATGGATGCTTCCTGTTTCAAATTGAATTTCTTGCGGTCTTGTAAACTCGAAATGACTGAAATTTTCAGAACTGGAAATCAAATCACTAAAGGAGAGGGTCAAGTCAGGCATTTAATTCTGTACTGACTCTACAATACTGGAATCATTGAAAATTATAGTTGTTACACGTGTTAAATTTAACAACAAAAGTCAGCCCATGACAGGAGCTAACTGCATGTGTTGAGTTACTTTGCAAAGTTTAAATATAAATGCAATTTAGCAGAGAACTCAGCAGTGCAGTTTCCTCACATATTGGTGAAAGAGAGCATTCGATCATAAGTTTGATATTGCACAGCAGTTTGTCTTGTCTATTTGTGTGCTTTTGTGGCTGCTGCCAAGTCTGACAACAAGCACAGAGACTGCTGAGCGGTTCGTCCCCTGATTCTGTGTACCAGCGCTGTCCTAGAACTGAATATCTCTGGAGCTTTTCGGTTGTTGTGTGTCTTCTCAAACATTTGCATATTGAAAGCTGCTCGTCGGATGACAGCAAGTTCCACCAGTGAACAACTGGCACCCAGTTTTTGGCAGCAAGAAACAGAAAAACACTTCATCCGTTTTTACAAGCTTGT